TGAAGTCTGCCAATAAAGATTGAATTTGAAATGAATAACCCTAAAAGGCCTTGAACAAAACTGTTCAGGGGAAAGATAGCATCAAAGAGCAGGTGCAAGTAGAAGAACAGCCCTTATAAGAAATTGGATGAAGTTAAAATTAGCCTTTAGATGGGCAGAGCCTTAACCCCAAAAAGAGGCTTTTGCAGGTTCCTGAAGAAAACTGGACCATCAGTGCAGATCTCTTAATGACACGAAGAAAGGCAACTTCTACATGACATTTCTACTTTCTTCAAGGCTACTACATGTACATCTTTTCAGAAAACTTCTAAATAGATGCGGAGAAAACAGAAAAAAATGAAATAAAAAGGTGAAATAGAGTTTAAAAGGGAGGCCTGTCCAGGCTTCTTCTTTAAAAGAAGATCTTCAGAAGTTTGTTTTTGTTCTTTATATATAGTCTTTATGTATAGTCTATGCTGAGCTTAAAAACCACTCCAAGTTCTAGACATTGAAATGAAACTTCCTGAGGCCTTAGGTAGAGGCCTTAATGCTCACGTCTGTCACGTCTGTTCCCCAGCTGTCAGTGAAAACCCTCTGTAGAATCATCATTAGTGCCGCTGAGGGCTCAGATAAAGGGGTGATGCTGCAGCAGCTGCCCAAGTTTGAAACTGTACACCCTGACCTGCAGGTTTGACTCCCGTCTTCCCCCCAATGATGACATGGCACCTCAATGTTAATCTGCCAAACCTGCCATCTGGCATTTAGCACACGACAGTGGCAGTGAGGTGCTAAGCCAATATTTACGTGGTTGGTCTTCCTCTTCCCCCAAAGTCTTTATTAGATTTAATGTGTGTTTTGTTTTGTTTTTGCAAAGTTTAAGCTCAATTTAAGGGTGAATTTGTCTATATTTTATCCAGTTTTCTCAAGGAAAATACAAGAATTCAAGAATCTTGAATCTTGAAATATATAAAAAAATAGTGAACAACCAGAAATCATAAAATCCTGCCATTAAAAAAATACAGGCTGTTGAAGTTTGTGAATATAAAACTGAACTTTGCTGGAAATCTTTTTATAAATGCTCACAAAAGGAAGACTTACACCTGAAAAAGAATGAAGAGCTGAGGTTATGAAGTTAAAACAGTTTCTCCATATAAAATGTGAATATTTGAGGGGCAGGAGGGGTTGATGTGGAGGAAGGAGGAGGCGGGAAAACATGGAATTGTCCGTTTTCTAGAAACAGTCCACGTTTGCGAGCAGGAGCAAATGCTGGTGATGACGTTATCTGCATGCACGTGTCCTTGGCTAGCAGGATATAAAAATCAGACGGCTGGTCAAAGCAACAGAAGAGGAGAGAGCAACAGCTAAAAACCTCCATCCAGCGGCCGAGTGACGGGAAAACACCAGCAATAAGAGGACGAAGAGGTGCAGAAAAGTGTGTGGTGAGAATCATCATTTTCTTTAATAACTTTTTTATAATGATATTAAAATCAATAAGTGCTTAAAATGCTTGAAAATCACTTATTGTGACATTTTTTAACTTTTACTTTTTAGTTCTTCACAGATGATGAATTTCTAATGATTGACTCAATACTGTTTGACTTGGATCTAAAAAAAAATACATTTGTGCACAAATACTGAGTAATATATTTTAAGATAAATTGTGAGAAAAAGACATTTGCATCATCTCAGAACTGACAACAAGGATTTGGCATCAACAAAATATAAACTTAATGTAACTTTGCATACGTTTATATAAAGTCAATGGTAATGTGTTGTTTAACCCAATATAATATATTTTGCTTAAGAGATTACAGGTACTTTCACGCCCTTTATTACGATTATTTTTATGTACATGGAATGTATTTATTTATTTGATCAATTTCACAGTGATATCTGTTTTGTATACCTACTCTGTAAGTCACATTATGGTTATATATGTAGTGTTAATGTAACATTTTTTAACATTCTGTCTGTGCTTTTCTCTGATTGGTCAACAGGAGGATGTGTCCTATGTGGCTTTTGGTGGCATTAGTGGTAGTGGGCGGGGCCAGAGAAGTAGTCAGCCAGTGCTGGGAGCATCCGAGCTGCCAGGAGCTCAGCTCTGAGAGCAACATAATGGTAAACGCACAAACACACTGTTCACTCAGACCTGATTTAATGGGAGGTTCTTCTTTTTTTTACCCTGCTCACGTTTACTTCTCATTCTCTCCTGCAGGAGTGCATCCAGCTCTGTCACTCTGACCTCACCGCCGAGACCCCCGTCATCCCCGGCAACGCCCACCTCCAGCCCGCTGTCCCATCAGACGCCTCCTCACTTTCTTCTCAGGCCAAGCGCTCCTACTCAATGGAGCACTTCCGCTGGGGGAAGCCCGTTGGCCGAAAACGCCGCCCCATCAAAGTGTACACCTCCAACGGCGTGGCGGAGGAGTCTGCTGAAGTTTTCCCCGAAGAGATGAGGAGACGAGAGCTCACCAATCAGCTGCTGGCAGAGGAAGGAGAGAAGGCTCAGGAGATGGTCAAGGAGGCGGAGGAGGAGCAGCAGCTCCTGAACGGGGTGCAGGAGAAGAAAGACGGCTTGTATAAGATGAAGCACTTCCGCTGGAGCAGCCCCCCAACCAGCAAACGCTACGGTGGCTTCATGAAGAGCTGGGATGAGCGCAGCCAGAGGCCACTGCTGACGCTCTTCAAGAACGTCATCAACAAAGAAGGACAGCAGCAGAAGTGAGGCCAGACGAGAAGAGGATGAGGCAGCGGAGAGAGGAGTGACAGGAGGAGGAAACGTTTTCCAAGGCAATCAGGCACCAAAGAGTTCCCATTAACAGAGTGACCAATAAAAAAGCTCTGAAACTGCCATCTGTTACATGATCCTGATTGAGTGATGGAGAGAGGAAGAGTCTGAGAAAGATGTTTTGATATGTATTAATGTAAATAACTTTAATTATTAAATGAATTATAAAAAGTTATTTGCAAGCAAAACAAGATACATCTTTTCTCTACACAAATGCACGAATCCAGAACACATGCATCTACACCAGACACCTGCTACCTGTGATCCACATCCACAATAACAAACTTCACTGTAGGTTCCTCAACAGCGATAAATCTTAATAGAAGTCAGCTCCTGAAGTAGGTGAAAATGCTCTACGTGAAAAGTCTTTAAATGTCAGTCTTGAAAAGGAGGAGTGTCCATCAAGCAGAATAAAGTGAGCTCATAAAATAAGCAGGAACTTACAATGGTGGCACTAACCCTTTATAATCAGTGGGATTTTTCCCCCAAAATAACAAAACCAATTAAACATTTATAAGCAATATATTGTAAAAAAATAAAAATGCCAGAGCAAATATGTAGCAGCTTTAGACCTTAAGCTCTAAAGGGCTAATAATAATAATAATAATAAGAAGAAGAAGAAGAAGAAGACTAGGTAAGAAAGAAAGTGAAATCATAAAAAAACAAAAGGTTGCTAAGAAAAAATCCAGTATTGGGCCAGAAAAAAGGAAATCAAAGGTAAGTGCTAAAAAAAGAGCATGTAGCGTCATGGAAGAAATACGAATCACTGAACTAATCTAAAAAAAAAAAGAAGAGCTATTGTCCTCAGAACAACCTGTACGCACATTTTTAGGTAAAGTATAACATTTATAACTACATAAACAAGTCTATGACTCAATACTGCTACAGTAGAAGCCTTGGTTCACAGAAAAAAAACAAATCAACTGTGTGTGAACTCTTAGAAAAGTGAACCTTCAAAATAAGGCAGGGCTGCACAAATGAAAATGTCACAGCGAGAGGTCTGCTGTGTATGAATAAGATGAGACGATAAAATTAACATGTACTATTTATTTAGTGCAGCATCATTTAACCATTAACAATACTTGTGTACAGATGCACCTCATGACTGGAGGATCAAACAGTAGGACAGACTGGGAAATATGAAGTCAAACACCGAGTCAGTCCATTTCTAATACAAAAAGATAAAATCTGACAGGTATAAAGGAAACAGCCACACTAAATCACTAAAAAAACGTGGCTCACGGCTGTAAGTCCTTGTGTGATTCTCTTATATTAATTCTCCTACCTCTTTCCCTCACAGCCACTGATTTGTTTCTTTACCAAACAAAGTGCTTCAACATCATCACGAGGTTGTTGCTGAATGTCTTTAATAGACACAGAGGTCAGGAAACTTCATCTCATAGACCGGAGTCGATCGAGGTGCCGAATGTCCAGAGGGAGAAGGAGGAGGACGTATGATGAGTTCAAAGACCTGATTGAGTTTGGACTGAAGCAACGATGTCTGGAGAGACAAATAAAGACATTATTTTAATCACATCAAGACAGATCATTTCGTCTAGATGAAAAAACGTTTAACAACTTTACTAAACTAAAGTGAACTCTTATTGGCTGAGAATCACATCGATGGTGTGGGAGTGGTGCTTTCAGCTGCTTTGTTAGAGTACAATAAGCTGCTCACCCTGGCTCCACAGTGGGCAGCAATTTCCTCAAAGGGAGCTGTCTGAAACCTCTCCACCACCTCCATCCGCTTCCTCCTCTCCTCTTCCTCGACCACGCCTCTGTCCTCTGACAGAAAGAAAAACCAGATCAAAGACAGATCTTCTTTGTTGACGCTAACCCAGTGCTTCACTTTGAATTTCACTGTTAACAGTTTCACTTACGTGGTTTAAATTAAATGGGGTTTTTTATTGTTAAAATTCTAATTTTAATGAAAATAAAATTATACAAAAAAAGTTATTGTCACTATTTGCTGAAGGGAACAATTTGAAGAATATTTCCTAGATGTTCACAAGCAAATCATGTGATACTATTGATTTGAAATTGATGGCCTACCGATGGCGTTCTTCAGCGTCTCAAAGGTGATCTGCTCAGTCTGAGGTTTCTGCACACAGAGATATGATCAGACACAAAAACAGTGCGATGGACAAAAGGACAGGTACATTCAGCAGATGGGTACCTGTGGTGTATCAGGACAGAACGGAAGTTCCATGTCCACCTGCAGAGAAACGGCGTCTCCAATGCTCTTCCTCTTAGACAGACGATCCTCTTCTACAATAAAACAGTAATTCAGTCTGAATGCTACGAGACTGGTGCCTCTATCAGTGCACTCATACTACTGCTAAAGTGGACCCTCAAACCCACTGCTATTAAATATTTACCTGCAGTTTTTGACTAAAATGTGAACTTTGAGAAACATTACCATCAGCTTCTCAACAATGCTTTAGATCGTTTGTTCTTATTTACAATCCATACTGGGATCTGTTTAAGTTTTACTATCCTCTCTTGAACAATCATTGTTAAGTACTGTGTAACTACTATTGTTCAAGACAGTTCTACTTAAACTTACAATATTAAGGGTGTGTTTGAGTTAGGGTGACCATATTTTGATTTCCAAAAAAGAGGACACTTGGCCCAGTCATGAAGAATTTTAATAATACTGTTTGTTTAAAGAAATCTTTAACATATTTAAAAGATGCCTTCTCTGTTAATAAATAGTGAAATCAAAAATGTTTTGATTTTTGATTTCAACAAGTCAACAAGCGCAAAAGAAAATAACTTACAAACTTCTGGAATTAAATAATGTTACAGAAATAATGCCTCATCTGTATAAGAAAAATTACCAGTGAGGTACCAGTAAGGTATTGTGCAGTGGTTTCTGCTGTCTCATTTGACGTTTCTAACTTCAATTAATTTTGTTTGCACGCCACCATTCTTCCAGTCAAAGTATGATTGGGAATATTTTCTCTGTTCCTTGGTTACTTAAGTCTGAGAAAGAGCTTCAAGAGTGACTTCCACTGAATCCAGCACTATCACACCATTGACAATAGCTGGCAGGCACTGCTGAACTTTTTAGCTGTGTTAAAGTCTGGAAATGCTTTTTTTTTTTTAAGCAACACACTAGTGCAATCCATGGATCTGTAGCTATTGTGTTGCATCATAGTATGAAATGCCGGTGCACCTTCTGCTGCAGATACAACAGCATCCTCGTTTTCCCCAGGTGTAACAAAGAACTCAGTCAACTTACTAGATGAATTTTCGCCTTGCACAGCCTTTTCATGTTTTTCTGTGTCCACGTAAACAACAAGATCTCCGGCACCTTTGTTAGACACACAAACGCAAGTGCCAGCTCTGCACACAGTGCACTACGCCTCCCATTTATGATACCAGGGAAATTTCTTTTGCAGTTTGTCTGAAAAGATGCACTTGCGCTTTGGCATCTTTTGGCATCTTTTCAACACGCCGCTCCGCGCTCTGTCCCGTCTGTGAGCGCGGAACAACCACTTACAACACAGCAGTTCGGGGATGATGTTGCACATATGGGTCCTCAGTAGGCCTATAGGAAACACCCAGACATTTTCATCCATCTTGAAAATCCCCCCGGATGCCCCGAACAGAACGTGAATAGTTCACATGTCTGGGGAAAAGAGGATGGTTGGTCACCCTAGTTTGAGTACCTGTTAACTGAGGTGTGTACAGTGTGTTGAAGCGTTCACAGTGTGCGCTGTAGCTGCTTCCTGCCAGGGCCTCGCAGATCTTTGATTGGACGAACAGCAAAGCTTCATCCACCTTCAGCTCACCTTCTGGGAGTCTGATACACACACAGTTATAACACCAAGACTTTAAAAATTATGGTGCTAGACAAACAAAGCTGAGGTACAACCAAGCTAAACAATTGAATCTGTATAAATGTACATTGGACAGAAGAACTGGGCCACCTGCGCACTACACCTACAGGAGTCGCTTGGCAACAGAAACCTGTGCTATGAAGCCCTTGGTGTACACTTTTGTGGTGATGCTAATGCTAGGAGCCCTGCAGTTACCGAGGGAGCAGAGTGACTTTTACATACTGTTTGCCTCAGCACTTGGCAACCCCACGGCTTGCAGCTGATCAGAGAATATGTAGGAGGAACAGTTGCCACAGTCGTGAGCTGACTAGTTGCACGATTGATTGGATTGATTTTGTCTATACTGCGAGTTACCAGAATCAACCATAACAAGTATATTATTAAGAATATTGAGAACAATATGAGGTCAGCATGGAACTGTTTAATAGTTGATGGTTTTATGCTTTTTCTACTAGAGTTTCAACACTTTAGTAAAGTGTAATTACATAACTCAATAACATAAAATACTATATTTTATTTGTTTTTTTAACTTTAAAATGGGGCTAACCTGACAATATTTATTCTGCTTTTCGATTTGATGTAAATATGTGGGTGTCTGGTTGAATTTCTACTCTTATTTCTAACTAAAGTTTTACATTTTATAATGTTTTAATACAATCAATTAGTGCGCCTCTCGCTCTACCTGGGTTTGTCACAAAACATGACTTCGGGCAGCAGGTGAGGAGCATCCTTTTGTCGACTTTCTATCACCTGGAGATCCAAAACAAACACACAGTCTGTGATGTTGTGCTAACAAACACCTTTGTTTCTCATGTTCTCACACTCACACACACACACACACACACTTACACCGACTTCACCTGAGTGATGTGCTGGTGGAGTGTTGGAGGCGGGCCAAGTTGTGACAGCAGGTTGAGGAAGGCGGCGCAGAGGGCGTGGATCCCACAGCGATTAAACACTGACAGACACTCCTGATTGGAAAGAGTCATCTCCTGTGCAGCCAATCACAGGAAAGTTAAAGGGAGAGGAAGAAGCAATGTGCTATTTTATTTATTGTTTATTTGTAAACACCACACACTGCAACATTAATAAACTAAGCTTTGCCCCTACACGGGCCTTTAAATCATATCAAAGAGGTTCTGCCTACCTGCAGAGCCAGGATCAGTCGAATCAGATCCACCACAACCTCCTCATTGGCCAATTCCACGCTTAGAACAGCCAATAGGGTGAAGAGGGCTTGGTAGTGGCTGCGTCCACTGTTCTCCTCCCTAGAGGC